AAGAAAACAATCCCATTTCCAATCGCATCAAAAACAATAAAATACCTGGAAATCAAATAAACCAAGAAAGTAAAAGACGTGTTCTCAGAAAATTACTTTCAGACATATCTTCTCAGGCAAGAAAAACAAAGGAAAGAATAAACAAATGGGACTATATCAAACTAAGAAGTTTTTGCACAGCAAAGGAAACCATCAACAAAACAAAAAGACAATTGACTGAATGGGAGAAGATATTCACTTATGATACATCTGATAAGAGGTTAATATCCAAAATATATAAAGAACTCATACAACTCAACAGCAAAAAAACCCCAAACAATCCAATTAAAACATGAGTCCTGAACAGATATTTCTCCAAAGAGGAAATGCAGATAGCAAATACACATATGAAAAGATGTTCAAGGTCACTAATCATCAGAGAAATGCAAATTAAAACCACAAGGAGATATTACCTAACACCTATAAGAATGGCTATCATCAACAAATCAAAGAACAAGTCTGGCAAGGATATGGAGCAAAGGGAATCCTCATACACTGTTGGTGAGATTGTAAATTGGTACAGCCACTAAGGAAAACAGTCTGGAGGTTTCTCAAAAAATTTAAAATGGATCTACCTTATGACCCAGCAATTGCTCTTCTGAGTATTTATCCAAAGAAAACCAAAACAAAAATTCATAAAGATCTATGATCTCCTATGTTCATGGCAGCACAATTTATAATAGCCAAAATACGGAAGCAACCTAAATGCCCATCAACAGATGATTGGATAAAGGAGTTATGGTTCATATATACAATGGAATATTACTCAGCCATGAAAAAATAAAATCCTACCATTTGCAATGACATGGATGGACCTAGAGGTTATTATGCTGAGTGAAATAAGTCAGAAAGAGAAAGATAAGTACTATATGATCATTTTACTTATTTGAGGAATCTAAGGAACAAAAAGGACGAGCTGATCAAAAACAGATTCATAAATATAGAGGAAAATCTGGTTATAGCCAGAGGGAAGGGGGGTTGGGGAGCTGGAAGAAAAGAGTGAAGGGTTAAAAAAGTACAAATTGGTAGTTGATAGATGGCCACAGTTCAGGAACATGGCATAGACAATACAGTTAGCATTAATGTAATGGCTGGGTGGAAAGCCAGAGGAAAGAAAGAGCAATCTGAGAGATTGTTTATAAATTATACAAATGTCTAACCAATGAACTGTATACTCGAAACTAATAATAAAGTAAAATTAACAAAAAATATTATCTCCCTCCCTAAAATATGAAATGTGTTAACTGAAGAGTTTCTTAGATTGAAACAAACTAATAAAATTGTTTTTCCCTGTATACAGAATCAGAATGTGAGAGGGATGGCAAAAAGGTAACTCAGACAAAATTTGATTATTTGGAATTTTGTTTAAAGACTGCCAGCCATCTATAAAGAAGACATTTTCATCTTTCCTTTTCTTCTCCTATACCAAATACCCCTTCTTTCTAGACCCTACAACTTATTTTTGGTTCCTAGGGCCATAGTTTTGCATCCATGAAATAAAACTAAATATACAATAACCGTCAAAGCATTTCAGACATTGTTTCAATGGGAAAATGTCAAAGATTCAACAAAAGTGGGAAGCAGTAAAACAGCATGCCTTTTAACAGAAGACTATTGCTTTAAGAATGCAAACAAATCAAATATTTCAGCATTTATATATTTATCTATGTCTATTTAATTCCTGAGAACCTGCTATACATTTATTTGTATAAATCAGAAGTTCATTAATCTGGAGAACAAATCTGGTTTTTAATATATCTGCTCAGAATAAATTTTAGACAGAAAATAGCATCAAAACACAAATATTGTCTCAAGATGCATCTAGGAAATATACTCTTAAGAGACCTGTTAGAATGGTATAATAATGCTTCAGAATTTTCATTTTAATATAGTTTTATTATTTAAAAAAATTGACTCTCACAACATCAGCAGGGAAACAATTCAAATGAGGCTATCCATGGCAATATTTTGTCAAAATACCAATATAAATTACATTCGTAGATTATTTTGTTCACAGTTGAGTGCATTGTGTATGATTTGGCTTGTAATTCTTTATCTTGTGCTTTTTAATGTCATCTTTCTTGAATTATCATTTGCTTTTAATGTATTTAACACTGAAAATGTATTTTAATTGCGTTCAGTTATGATTAGGGAAGAGTATCCAATCAATAATCTAGATATCTTTGCTTTGGGAAAAATTACAGTGAAGGAGTATCAAGCTTCAGACATACCCCAGGGGTCAAAAAGTCTAATTTTTCCTTTCCTTGTACAAAACATTTTAGCAGATGTAATTTTATTTTAGGTCCTACTCATCTCTTTTTGTTTATTTGGGATATATTGCTTCTGTAAGAAATTGAGATATTTCTGGGTATTATTCCTATTTTGTAAGGTATTATCCAGTTCATTTGAGTACAGAAATACAAATAAATAAATCTTGGATTTATAGAAAGTGTATGTCTCCAACTTTTCATTGTCTGTATTCACTAGGAAAATGTTGAGGAATTATGATAACTAACAACATTCTGTCCTTTAGGAATACACTGTCTAATTTGTACTAGAATTCAGTAGGACTTACACTATATGGTCATGAATGACATATATAATCTACCATACTATCTCAAAACAATTCTAAAGCTCAAGAGAAGATCGGTTTGGGAAAAGTAAGTTTACATTAGGCTTCTGGATGTTAAAACAGAAGGTTTTTGTTAATCTCTTCCTTGCTAGCCACATAATAGCAATGCCTGAGTAGTGAAATGTACATTACACACATAAACATATGTCCAAGGAAGCTAGACAGGAAAGAGAGAAGAAAGGAAGGAAGGAAGAAGAAAGAGAAGAGGAGAGGAGCGGGCAGGAGAGGAGAGGAGAGAAGAGAGGCAGAATATGAAACCTCAATTAATAATCTGATAATCATTCTCCACATGTGAATTTTGACTGATATTTTACAGAATGAAACTAAATTGGCCTAACACTACACACACACACACACACACACACACACACACACATTCATGTTGAGTAGAATTGAAAATTGATTGATGTTTGACTCTCTGACACTCTAGTAAAAAACAGACTAGAAAGCATCATAAAAATTGTTAATTTTTTTTTTGAACTATTAAATTCTTCAAAAAAGAAAGCTACCAATGCTCAGGCAGATTTTTGTTCATAGTGTACATAGACACTGTGAATATTGCCTTGCTTACATTATTCAATTGTATTCCACAATCTACTTCAGGTATTATTCTCTGTCTAAAATTTTTATGTTAGTCTATTAAACAATATCAGAAGCACAGTCATAAACAATCTCCCTGTGATCACTGTAATAAATGTTTCTTTTTTCTCAACTTTGATTCTTTAGAACCCTATTTGTTCAAATGTAATTCATTTGAAACTACTTTACTATATAAAGTGAAAATGACCAGAGAGTCATTATTCGTCAGAGAAGTTATATGGAAATGAAACAATACTTCTGCTTTCTTCCATGATATAAAACTGAAAGCAACAAATGAACAAGACAAACAAACAAATAAAAAACTCATAGACACAGAAAACAGTGTAGTGGTTACCAGAGAGAAAGGGGGCAGAGTACATGCTGCAAGGTGATTTGATCCAATTAAAGGAAAAAAATCAGTATAAGAAAAAAATACTTCAAAGTGACACAATTATTTAAACCCTGAAAATTGTGCATTTTGAAATAAACAGGCACACTGGTAGGAAGCATTAAGTATTTAAAAAGTTTTTAGTACACATAAATCTGTCAAATGCATTATGGTTTCACTTATTTTGTTACTATTCAGTCTCATAAAAGTGAATGAAATAAAATTTTAAACGATGGAAACCCATGGGCAGATTTGGGTTTCAGTAATTTTCTCATACTAGATTTTGAATTATGTTTTTTAACTATAAATAGTAAATACTAAAAAGATTAATAAAATGTTTATAATGTTTAAAGTGGCAGAACATCAAATATATATATATGTGTATATATATATATGTATTCAGGAATGTTTTAAAATATTTGTCTCTGTTATTATTATTCCTTATTTATTTCTCCTCCCTTATGTCCACAAATATAATATCTAATAAGAGAAAGTTCTTATTATTCCAAGAAATGGAGGATAAAAAGAGTAAATAATAAGAAGTAGCCCAATAAAGTTCCTATAAAATTATATAAGCAATAAATAATATGGAATAGTTTCAAAGTCAAAAAGTAAATTTTCTAAGTGGAGATAAATATGTATTATAAAGTTAAATATTAACAATTGTGCAAAGTAATATATTTTCAGTTTGAAATATTAATTAAACATCTCAGTACATTAACAAAAGAACTGAGAGATCTTTCAAATAAAGTGAGGTAACTGATAATGTAGCTGCTGCTTAGAAAATTGATATATAGATGAGAGAAATATAAAGAAAAAAAGTGTTTAGAGCATCAGTATAAGGATTATATAATTTCATATTTTATATCTTCACTTTAATACACTAATAATTACTATGTGTCTTGCAATTTTCCATAGAAAACCAGTAAATATTGACACAGAAAACCTAACATACTAGAATCTTGAAAAGTACTGATCTTTGAAAAGGAAAAATAAGAAATCTAAGATATTAAGAAAAAAATACTAACATCAGGTATTACAGCCTGTTAAAATAATTTGAATATATTTGAAACTCAAAAAGCTGATATTTAAAATAATTTGAATATATTTGAAGCTCAAAAAATCTTAGAAATAATGTTCTAATTATTACTTCTACTGCTAATAATGCCCTAAGTAATACTTAAGCTTCTTTAAAATGAATGATTCACTGCTTGTGTATTAATTGTTCAGTAAAACTAAAAAATAATTCAATAATAATAAATACCAATCCAATAGAGGAAAAAATTAACTTTTTACTAGACAATGTTGAAATGGCAGAAAACAATTAGCATAGACTTTCAAGTCCATTTATAGAAAACTCACCTGGTTGGCAATCTGCCGTGCGAGGACATCCATCCTTGATCCTGATTCTGATATCATTTTAGCTGCATAGATCACATCGGTTGTGTGCTTTAGCGGCCCTTTGCCCCTTAAAGTAAAAGATGCATGTTACTTGCAGTGGATCATGCTAACACACATACATACACATACAAGATTTGTACCCCAAAGTACTAACTATTAGCTTTACATACTTCAGTTTTATATAGGCCTCTTTTAGACTTAACTATAAAATGACAAGAAAGAAAGAGAGAGAGAGAGAGAGAGAGAGAGAGAGAGAGAGAGGAAGAGAGAGAGAGAGAGAGGAGAGAAGGGAGGGAGGGAGGAAAGAGAGAGGGAGAGAGAGAGAAAGAGAAAGGAAGAAAGGAAGGAAGGAAGGAAGGAAGGAAGGAAGGAAGGAAGGAAGGAAGGAAGGAAGGAAGGAAGGAAAACAGGCCAGCCTATTGTGTTAAGATTCAGGAAATACTGCCAAGATGATGGACTTCATTACATTTTATGCTCAGGTATTTCTTACAGTAAACCTCAGCCTAGAAATATTCTTGGAGCGTATGGATACCTCTAGGCAAAGGTGTTTTCCTGATTCAAGGAGGAAATGTGTGATTTTAAATATTATATCTGTTCAATGGTGTGTTTTGATCAGCAAGTCTTTTAGTCTTGCTCTTTTTAATCCTTTTTTACTGTCTTTCAGTTAATTACATTTTGTTTTTATGATATTATCTCTCCTCCATAATTAATTTGTAGTAATATCATAGTTAAGTATGAATATGGAGTTTCACGATCTTAAACTATTTCTCCAAAACAGATCTCTTATTACTGTTTGTGAAAGTCGATCTAGATAAATACCCACTTCGTGTCCCAGTTTCCTTGGTAGTAATAGAAGCACCCACTCCATGAAGTCATTCTAAGAATTACATGCATTAATTTCTATACGCTCAGAATGTTGCTTTAAAAAAAGCAAGCATTCAGTAATACAAGTTGTCATTGTTATGGTTGTTACTTGAAAATAATCGTGGTTCCTAATGCCATGGAATAAAAGTTGGGTTCATTTAGTGATTTCGCAAGGTAGTTAAGAAGAAAGAAATACACTTCCTACATTTTTGTAATGAGATGAGGTAGGGAGGTATTTGTCTGTCTTCTCTCTCCTCAAAAATAAATAATTACCTGAATCAATATAACTGTTCCATCCACATAAAACCACTTCTCTCCTTATTTATGTCCAATTCCTAACCCTCTATTGAGTGTCAACACAATGATTATTCTAATCATTTGGGTTCTATTCCTTGTTCCTAGCAGAGAACAGAACCTGCAGGAATTGCTCATTCACACAATTGTTTTCATGCTTCCATGTAAGTGTGGAGAGTGAGGGAGGTAGGGAGGAGAAATAAATTGGTCAGAGTGAGAAAAGGAAGATTTTGAGAGGCCAAAATAGAGTGGAGTTAGAAGAGGAGAATGAAAATAATCTTTGTCTATGTCTTATTTATACCATGGACTGATCTTGAAGGTTAATGCCCTTATGTTAAATCTAATGAGATTTATTGTTAGAGGAAAAGCACTATTCACTAAGAAGACTATCACCGTGTAGTAATAAAAGACAGAGGGGATTCATGCAAAGGTAAATGATCAGATTATTCTATACCTGAAAATCTGAACACCAAAATCTGTGTGTCCCGTGTGCCAAAAAGTCCCTTTCACTGCATTTTTTTTCCATGGTGCCTCTCAAATTCATTATAAGCAAGTTTTTCTTTTAAAAATGGAACATCATGTCTAACAAAATGAAAACCTGATCTCAGAGGATGGTTATCATCATATTTCTTCTCTTTAAATCTGCTGACCCAGGTTGCTTTATAAAAAATTAATCATTACAATATTCCAGTTGCTCTTATCAAATTAATATCGGGCAAGACTAGATGTTATACACATGGTTACGTTCAAGAAAGGCATTGCATTTTATTATTTCTATGCATCTCCAGACAAAGTTAAACTTAAAGCTGTCTAAGTTCTTAAAAGGCAATGCATCAATTTTCAAGGTTTTAAATAACAGACAAAGGTTGTACCTAAGGAGAGTAGCTAACGCTCTTAGCTTAAACAATGAACATAGAGTTATATTTAAAGAATGAAGCTAATGCACCTTTCCCCTCAAAATAATATATTTCCCCCATATTAAAACCCCAGGCCAATAAAAGAAAATTACTTCTAGCTTTAAATACATAACTTGTTATAAGACCACTATCTTAAACGCATGGAGAACTTAAAAGGAATGATAATACATTATGACAGACCACAATTATTCTCTTCCTCATGTTCCTAATTAAATGTATTGCCTGGCAAGCTTCCTATTGAGTGCCAAACAAAATATACATTTTATAAATGATTCCATATCATGCCAGGCTTCCAGAGGAAGCTGCAATTACCGAAACTATGATAAATTTTTAACATACTCAGCCTGAAATGTACTATGTAATGAAGGCTTTTTAAATTGGGAAATACATTCAAAGGTTGTTTGCTGCCTTCATTTTCATAATGGGTTCTCAGGATCTCCTGTCAGCAAATCGGGTCTTAAATCATTGAGTTTGGATCCTAGAGAGAAAGACATTCAAAGGAGGAGGGAGTGGACAGAAATTTTTTTTAAAAAAAATTGGAGGCCAGAAATCTTTAATAAATAGTGGTTACAATAATAACCTATCTATTCTCCCCAGAAGGAGGGCAGATCAACTTCTGAAGTAGAGTCGGCCCATTATAGGTTAGAAGGTATAATGGGAAAGGCTGCAACAACACCGTGATGTTGATGCCGCTGAAAATTTTATTAACGCAAGTGAAAGTGATGCCTTTGAAACTTAATTTATTAGTGCAGCATAAACCTTTGAGTTATTTTTGACATTGCTCCAACCTTGACTCCCATTCTTCTCCCTGTCCTCACCCCGTTTCCGGCATCCACCATCTTAATTAGCACAAGTAATAAGATGATATAACTGATCAGTAACAGTTCAACTAACTAGAAATCTGATTTAATAATAGAAAATATCAAATAGTTTCATGAACTTATTTTGTGTTTTTAAGGACAGAGAATATTTTTGAAATAATTTTGTATTTTCTGCTATAATTAAAAACAAAACAAAAAGCTTAATTATAATTTTTGTACTTTGTAGCCCCTAAATCTCTGATAACATAATATTATTTCCCATTTCAAGGTCGAAATCTTTTCCTTTAATTTTCTTTTCTTTTGATATTTTATAAAAATTCAGGACATAGTGGTTAACTTAATAGATAAAAAAAATGGCAGCATATATTTTGTTCCACGAAAGTGGTTAACACATTTAGTATTTTCTATGTGCTAAGCACTATTCAATATGAGAACTAATTTAATTATTATTACAACCCTATGAGTTTAGGAATATTACTATCTTCATCTCACAGGAGAGAAAACTGAGGAACAGAGGCATTACATTTATTTTTTTGTAGAAACACTCAGTTATTAAGTGTTGAAGATGGAATTTGAACCTGGGCAACTGGTTAATCTGTTTTTAATGACTATCTTATACTACTTCCAATAAAGCACACATGATAAAATTAAATTATTAAAAATATCCTAATTTTTAATAATTAAAAATGGTAACTGATGGGAGTTACCATGAATGCAACAGAGAGCAAAAGTAAAGCTTAGATTTAGGTGCTGGGCGGTTAAGAGGTCCACCAAGAATGACTCGATTACACAAAACAGCCTCAAGAAACAACCTAAATTTGTGTCCCAGTCCCAACAAAATAAAAATATGCTGCATGATACAGACTTTTAGAATCATGGCAAATAGGTGAAATAGCATCAGTAGTCTGCAGTCCTGAGATTTTTTTCTTAAAATATTACTTTTCTTCATGACTTATGCTTGTACCTTTCCTCCCTCTATCTCTCTTCATAGATTCTAATTACTAAACTCAAACTCAGTCATTACATACATCACACTAGATGAGAGATTGCACTTTGATGTTTATTTATAATATAATAGAATTTTTATTTGAGAATCAGCATTAGACATTTATTTTATTTTATTTTATTTTATTCTAACACTCAAATTTAGTGCTGTAATAAAGTAGAATTAAATTAACATGGACTCTAGAAATGCATTTGTTTGCATCCCAGTACTGCCACTTATTAGTCATGTATCTTTTGGTAAGTGACTTAGTTGATCTGAGCTTATTTTTTCTTCAACAAAATAATGATTGTGATACTTGCCACATGGCAAAGATACAAAAAATCACATATTTTACACAATATTTGGCACTCAGCAGATAATATTTTTTTCTTTCCCTCGTCCCTTTATAGGTAACAATATTTTATTTAAAAAATGAACTTTTCATTTTTTATTTAATAATTATAGTACTTTCCAGACAATATGAACTGACTTGATTTCTTATAATACCCTTCTACTAAGAAAAAAACAGAATAAAATATATAAATATTGTATGTGTAGTCATTGTTGTTCAAGATTGTTCTTTGACTCCTTATAAGGAGTTGATTTACATTTAGTGGACAGATATTTTTGGTAGTATAAATTTCCCAAGATCAATGATTCAACTTTACAAGGGTACCATCAGAATTACCTTACTTATAATTCTGACATTAGATACAAAGGAAAAAACAATTTTCATGGAGCAACTGAAAAATGATGAGATAAAGAGAGGTACCAGACTCAAGCAAGAACACACTATTTCTCTACTATTCAAATATGAAATTTTAATTAGGCTATTCTCTCCCCCTGGATGTTGCTTTCTTTTGTAAAATGTCATTCTTAAGTTTTGAGGACCCTATAAAATTCCTTGAATAATAGTGAATAATCAGCTAACAATCACCCTGAGCAATCAGTATCCCGAAGAACCTTTGGGATTTAACTCTGAAAAAGGTGTTGCCCCATGGAAGAGGGAGTATAGTCTGAACACTGTGTGTGTGTTTGTGTGTGTATATATTTTTCGTTTCTACTCTGCTCATTCCATATTATTCAGAGTAGCCTAACAACATCACAATATCTTAGTCCTTAGCACAATAAAGTTTATTCCTCTCTCATATCACATATTGTGGGATGATGGGCTATATACCACAAA